AAAAAAAAAAAAAAAAAAAAAAAAATTCAAAATTTTAGGGTTTAGGGTTTAGGGTTTAGCCTTACTAGTGCTTTCTTATGGGCACTCCATATAAATACATGAGGGGTTTGTTCATGAGCTGTAACTACAGCTGGCCAATCAAAATGACGAACAGAAGAACAACTCATTGATACAATTCCTTTTAATTTACGAACGGATAACGAGCCATTCTGAAAAAAAAAAAAAAACCCTAAACCCTAAACCCTAAACCCTAAACCCTAAACCCTAAACCCTAAACCCTAATTTTACCCTAAACCCTAAAATGTAAGGATGGAAAAAGGCATACGGAATAGGGAACAAGAAAGAAGGAAAAAATAATTAAAAAAACTTCAACTGGAAATGAGAAATCTGAAACCCTAAACCCTAAACCCTAAACCCTAAACCCTAAACCCTAAAACAAACCTGTACGAGGGTTTTAAAGTTTTTTTGCGAGAAAACGCAATTCTGTTGCTGCTGAATTAATGATGTAAATCCAACAAACCCTCGACCGTTATGAGAGGTAGCAACCAATAATTGTTTTGCATCCGTACCTATACACAAACCCTAAACCCTAAACCCTAAACCCTAAACCCTAGACTATACCACTGAAGAAGGGTTTACAGTTTGCCAGCACTCCCTAAAGAAGGTCAAACAACTGCAACCTAAAACCCGACCCAACTCCCCAAAACCCTAAACCCTAAACCCTAAACCCTAAACCCTAAACCCTAAACCCTCACCATAGAATTCCATATGAGTAATAGTTCCTATATTTCCTCTTCGTGCCTTCAATTCTCTCGGGATACCATCAGGGCTATCGAATATCCATTCTATTAGAGCATTATCACTACCTGTACACAGACACACAAACCCTAAACCCTAAACCCTAAACCCTAAACCCTCAGATTAGAAGGTTGCACAGACAGGCTCGACTCGGCCCAAACCCCTAAACCCTAAACCCTCAACCCTAAACCCTCAAGCAAAAAAAAAAACGATCTTCCTCTAAAAAACAGAAAATATAAAAAACCCCAAACCCTAAACCCTAAACCCTAAACCCTAAACCCTAAACCCTAAACCCTAGACCCTGTTCATACCATTAGTAATCATAATAGGCTGATTAGGTAAGAAATGAATACTACAAACCCTTCCTTTATGTGCTTCTTGTATAACATCAATAAGACGATTCTCCTTAAGACTCCATATACATAAATCCCCGTTGCTGCATCCAGTAACTAGTACTGCTGCTGCTGCTGCTGCTGCATCATCAGTAGCAGCAGCAGCAGCAGCAGCAGCAGCAGAAGGTATAGGCATATCTAATCTAAATGCTAATGAATATACAGAACCCTGATTAGATGCATGCATAAACCCTAATAATAATTCATCTTTTTTTATATCTATTATACAAACCCTACCATCACTAAACCCTAATCCAATTATATCTGCTGTAGGCCCCTGCGCCATCACCATTATACTGCTGCTGCTGCTGCTGCTGCTGCTGCTGCTGTTGCTGCTGCTGCTGTTGCTGCTGCTGGTAGTGGTGGTAGGGAGGTAGCTGCCTATACACCTGAATGTATATATCTTATTTGCTGTATTAAAGTTCCATAGCTCGAGTGTATAGGCAGTAGCAACAAGAATTTTATTTATATATGTATAAGGATGAATAATATAATTAATATAATTATATTTATATTTATTTATATTATTATTTATATTATTATTATTATTATTATTATTATTATTTATATATATATTATTATTATTTATATCTATATAACGTAATAATAAACCCTCATCTTTTTTATATATATAAATATTATTTATACAATAAGTTAATAAAACCCTACCTATAACTAATAAACCCTTAATAGGGTTTATTGAGGGTTTATTAGGGTTTATGTTTATTAAGGGTTTAGGGTTTAGTGTTATTAAGGGTTTAGGGTTTATATTTATTGGGGTGTATATACACCGTAAGGATAATCTAATAAATTGATAAACCCTAAACCCTACACCTATAAACACTTCCTCTCCTTGGGTGTATATACACCTTATTTTTCCTGGTAATATAGGGGAATCTATTTGCTGCTGCAGCAGCAAACTATCATATATACGGTAGCTGCTGCCGTTGCTGCAGCAGATTGATGCATGCATTATACCCTGCATGCATACACCGCAAGGAATTGGGGCTGTTACCTGTCCATACACCCCACCAGCTATAAATAATATACTTCCTTTTCTTTCTTCTTTCCTTATTCTTCTTATATAAGAAGAAGGATATATTTTATTATTCTCCTCCTTCTTTTCTTCTTGCTGCTGCTGCTGTTGCTGTTGCTGCTGCTGCTGCTGCTGCTGCTGTTGTTTCTTCCTCTTTTTCTGTTCTGTAGGGGAAGGTGATTTCCCTGCTGCTGACGGAGGGTCTGCTGCTGTTGCTGCTGCTGCTTCTGCTGCTGCTGCTGCTGCTGCTGCATCTGCAGCAGCAGAACACGCAACTGTTGATCCACCCATTTGTCTAAAAGAAAAAGAAGAAGAAGGATGACGATATAATCCTAATTAGGGTTTAGGGTTTAGGGTTTAGGGTTTAGAGGTAAGAAGAAGGGATGTCATGAGGGCGGTGTATCTTTTTTGTTGTTTTTTTCTTCTTATTAATTAATTTTATTTATAAATATAAATACAAATAAATAATAAATAAATAAAATAAATGCATGCATGCATGCATGCATGCATGCATGCATGCAGCAGCAAAGATTTGCTGCAGAAGGATAGGGTTTTTTCTTCCCTATATTATCTTATAAGAGGAACTACTAAACCCTAAACCCTAAACCCTAATTATATAAACCCTAAAAACAAAAGAAGTCCCAATAAAGAAGAAAAAAACCACCAAAAAAAGACCCTCTGTGGGCCCCACCGTCATCGGTGGGGGCCCCCCAAGGCCTGCTGCTGCTGCTGTTGTTGTTGGTGTTGCTGCTGTTGCTGCTGCTGCTGCTGCTGTGCTGTTTGCTGCTAAATAATACTATATATAAATAAAAAATATAATTAATTACTTTTATTTATATTCTTTTTAATTATTTTTTATAGAAGGTCTCTAATAGAGGCAGCAACAGCTGCTGCTGCAGTTGCTGCTGCTGCTACTACGACTGGTCGCTGTTGCTGCTGCTGCTGCTGCAGCAGCTGCTGCTGCTGGTCCACATGCAGGTATACGCAAGCGCATGCTGCTGCCCTCCTTTTATATTTTCTTTATTTCTCTATTTTTTTGAGTAATAAATATTTAATAATTGACAATAAAAAGAAAAAAGAGACAAAAAGTACAACTATAAGTAGCAGCAGCAGCAGCAGCAGCAGCAGCAGCAGCAGCAGCAGCAGCAGGTGTTGAGAGGGCCCCCCTTACAGGCTGCTCAGCAACACAACAGCAAATTGTTTGCTTCTTCCTTTTTTCTTATGACGCAAATAATGTAAACCCTATTGAGGTGTACGTACACCTGAGGCGGCAGCAGCAGCAGCAACAGCAGCAGCAGCAGCAACAGCAGCAGCAGCAGCAGCAGCAGCAGCAGCGTCCAGCCAAAGGCTGTCTTGACACCGCAGAAGCTAACGAAAGCAGCTAGCTGTTGCTAGCTGTAGCTAGCTGTTGGTATATATGGCTAGCCTATAGAAGGACGTATAGAAGACCCATAAACCCTAAACCCTAAACCCTAAACCCTAGACTCATTAAGTGTCGTGTCTGTTTCCTTTTGTGTATTTTATTAGGGTTTTATATAAAACCCTAAAAAAGTGTTTATTGTTTTTATATATTTATATCTTATTATTTATTAATGAGTATAATTGTATCTATATATGATATTTGTTCTCTTTTTCTAGGGTTTATTAGGGTTTACAAAGGGTTTAGGGTATACGAGGGTTTACGAGGGTTTACGAGGGTTTAGGGTTTAGGGTTTAGGGAGATGGGGTGTATACACTCTAAAGGATCAAATAAAAGGAGAGCAGAAACAACTTCTGCTAGTGCAGCAACACCACAAATACTTTTCTTGGGTTTACCCGGAGCAGGAAAGACTACTCTTATGTATAAAACCCTAATTACAGGTAAGCATGGTTTAGGGTTTAGGGTTTAGGAGGGTTTAGGAGGGTTTATGAGGGTTTAGGGGGAGAAAGAAGGGTGGGAAGTGTTTAGGGTTTAGGGTTTCTGGATATAGATTAGGGTTTAGGGTTTAGGGTTTAGGGTTTCCATGAATTAGAATGTATATATGGGTCTAAATACATAAAAATGAATATAATGTAGTGAATAATATATATATTTTGTTTATTTTTTCTTTTTTTTCTTTTTTTATTCATAAAGAATGGTCTTATTCATCTAATCAAGCCCCATTACCGCCAACTGCTGCTTTCCACTACGAGCGCATGCAAAGAGGAAAGCTGCAAATTGGCTTCTGGGATTTATCAGGAAATCCAGCAGTAAGAAGAAGAAAAACAATTTATTTATTTATTTATTTATTTTATATATTATTTATTTATTTATTCCCTTTTTTATGTATCTTTTCTCGCTTCTGTAACCTATTTATTCGTGTGAATCTGCATACATGCATGCATGCATGCATGCATGCATACATACATGAATAGCTCTGCATGCATGCAGATATATATATGTGTATTTGTGGTGAATTTACGGCTAAAAAAAGGGAAAAAAGAGTAAAATAGTAAGAATAATATAAATAAGAGTAAATAATGAATAAATGGATGCATATATATGTATTATTTGTGCATACAGCTAAGAAGTGCATGGAGCGCATTCTATCATTATGTAGATGTATGGGTAGTTGTATATATTATAAATATATTAGAATGTTCTTCTTTATCTTATATAATAGAGAATCGTGAATATATAAATAATATAATAAAAGATAATTGTTTATTAAATAGTAGTATAATAATAATATATAATACAATGGGTATAAATATAGATAAAGATTCACCAAGAAATATAAAAGATATTAATAATTTATTAGGTCTATTTAATCTAAATAATAAAGATATACAAAGAATTAAGATTTATTATGTTAATTGTTTATTAGGATTAAAAGATAATCAATGGATAAATGCTTATCAATATATACAAGAAAAAATACATAAAATTCTTTCTCCTCCTCCTCCTCCTCCTATGAGGGCACATAATCATCATAAAGAAGATAATAATAATAAAAATAAAGAATATTATGTATATATAT